AATAATAATAATAAATAAATAAGAAAAATTGTTAGGAAAGTATTTATTAAGTATTAGCACTTATTCAAAAGTATTTTTAAAATTTGGACTTTGAATATTGTTTATACTTTTGTAAAGTTTTTTCTTAATAAAGTTATTAACACTTTGGAATGTAATTTTTATTACAATGAAAAATTTATACAAATTTACACAAATATTTGATACAATTTATACGAATATTTGAAGTTAGTACTTTCAAATAAGCATTTTAAAACAAGCCTGCAAATATATAGTAAAAATAATACCAGCAATAAATTTTACATGAAAAAAGACTGTAAATATATAACATTAAGTAACTGTTGCAGCAAAAGTATCATGATTACTTATTATACTTATTATCATTTATAGAAAAGTACGTACTGCTATTAATAGAGTATTTTTGAGACTATTTAGGGATCAAATTAGTGCTTTTTCCTTTTGTTTACTAATTTATTAATTATTATTAAGCATTTTATTGCTACATTTATGAAAATGCAAAAAATTCAGCACTACATATTTACTGATTAAATTTTTGATCTTATCAAATTTCAAATTTTTGTGTATTTGTTTAAAATTTCAAAAATTTTCAAGAATATTTTTCACGAAAGTTATAAAAATTACTAACATATTATTATTTTTTCTAATTCAAATCCCAAATGATTTCATATAACTATCAAATAGCACAAACGAGTCGAAAAATTTATTCACTAATTAAATTAAAAAAATACTTCGTACAGAGTTTTTTATATTTTTAATTGCGTTATAAATACTTGCTGAACTTGTTGATAATTTTATTTCATAAAATAAAAAAATCTTTATTACTTTTTACATAAAAATTTTATTACTTTTTCTCATTCAAAAGTATTTTTTAAATTTTGATTTTGAATATTATTTATACTTTTGTAAAATTCTTCCCTTTTTGTGTGTTTTTGAAATATAAATTTTCTGCACATTTGAAAATTACTCAATTCACGAAATTAATTCAACCAAAATGTGTCTTCAATTCCATTATTTATCCATTGTGTCATAAAAATCCTGTTATAACAAATATAAAAATGACAGAAAATTATTAAATCAAACGAGCATAAACTTATTCAAAATACTTATCAGCAATAACTTTTATTCATCAATTAAGAAATTTAAATTGTACAAATTTAATTTCAATATAATTTTTTGAAAATAGCAAAAACGAAAATCGTTTCAAATGAATAATTTTAAAAAATTACGAGAATTATTAACAGAACACATAAATTTTGCAATGAAATTATTCAAGCATAAATGCATTTTTTTATAAAACAAATTTGTACTTTATTTGAAATTACATAAATTGAAAGTTTTATTTTTTGTTTTTGATGCTTTGTTTTCAGATTATCCAGAAAATATCCCGTTGAAACATTATCAATTTGATATTTGTAAAAAAGAAATGCTTAAAGAAGCACTTAAATCCGTTACAATTATATTTAATTGTGCTGGGAAATCATTTGAATATTTGCATGATGGCATATGTCATACTGATGAATATTGGCATGACAATACAGATGGTAAGTATTAATATTAATATTAACAATAATATCATTATTAGTTATTATTATTATTATTAATATTTTTTGTATTACTTGTAATGTATATCGAAAAGAATGTAATAAATGATGTTATCAATAAAATCTAATCTTGATTACAATCAGTATAGCGACTGAAATACTTATCGAAGTTATGATCGAACTAAAGATATCATTTCTGATTCATATAAGTGATGCTTATGCCAATTTACCTACTGGCGATAATTTTGGTTTATCTGAACAAATACATTCTGGAATTCCTAAAAACTTTATGCTTGGAATTTATGGACAATCAAAAACATACGGAGAATTATACGTTCGAAATGCTGCTAGCAATAGTTAAATATTTTAATCTTTTGACACAGTGAATAAAAATTATGAATTAATATTTCATTTATAATCCAATTAGTAATAATAATAAGTTTCAGATATTAGCATTGTAAAATTGCTTACTAATTATACAATTAGTTTCAACAAATTTTAATTCTTTTAGTCTGTACCGTTCTAATAACTTGAAAGCTGTTTTCCCTGAAATTTTTTATCAAATAACATCCTTATTAACTGATAATTAGTAATTCTGATTTTAAATCGGTTTTTATTTTTCAAATTCAAAATAGATTTCATCAATTCAAAAAAATCAAGCATGAATCTAAGGAATCATCTGATCACGTAGTTCACTTATACTGGGAATGACGTAGTTCACTTGTATAAATTTCACTGCTAAATATTACTTCTAACTTTTTTCTGCTTATTTGTTTGTAAGTTTAGCTAAAATATATTTGCTAAAAAAAGTAAAAATAATATTTTCACAAATTTTTAAAAGCAATAATTTCTTAGATCAAATAAACGCACTAATTTTACGTCCAACTTTTGTATATGGCGAAGGTGAGAAACACCTGCTCGGTTCAGCTTTAAAACTGTGCTCACTGTACGGTGGCATTCCTTACATACAGGATATGAGACGAGGCTTTCATCAATATGTTTGTTTATATTTATTATTTAAAATAATTTTTTAAATTATCAGATAAACATTTTGTATTTCTTGCTATCATATACAAATTTATTTAACTTATTAAAATAATAAATATTAAGTAATTTATTATTTGTTATTTAATGCTTATTATTATTATTATTATTATTATTATTATTATTATTATTATTATTAATGTTATTATTATTATTATTATTATTACTATTATTATTATTATTATTATTTATTAAATATTTATTTGCTATTTCATCTTTATTCTTTGTCATATTTTTCAATACATTCAAGCATTTTGTAGCAATATTTATTTGTATATAATTTTGACATCAATTAGACATTTATCGTACTAATTTAACAGCTTAAGAGTTAAATTTACTATTATTAATAATTAATAAAATTTTATTGACTTTCAAATTAATATTGATATTACTAATATAAGCTGCTTGAGAAATATTTTCCAGCTATATGCAGGGAATATGGCAGCAATAATGGAACGTGCAATGACGTGTTTAAAAGAAAATCCAAAGTATTATAATTCTGAAGTTGTAATTTGCATGGATTGTACCCGAGCAAAAAGATTTGTTGATGTGAATTCAGAATTCCTTTTTCAATTTTATTTTTTATAATAATATTATTTACCTCTTTAAACTTTATTTTATTTTATAATTTATGCAATTTTGGGTATCCCAATTTATGATTATTTAAATATCGCAAGATAATTTTAGTTGCAGTAAAATTATTCGCTCACTTATTACTGTATACTTTTAAATGAACTTTTGCACAATTTATTTTTTTTCTAAAAAATAAAAATTTATCAAATCTTTAATAATCATTCGAAGCGTTTCTTCAAATGCTTCTAATCCCTTATGATTGTATTTAAATCAGAATAAAAAAATTTAGAAGGCTTTATTACAAGCTGTAATCTCATTGTATTTTTTAATTACTTTTTAAAGCATTTTTTCATTAATATTTTGCACATCAATTATGCATATATTTTTTTCTTTATAACTTAATATTATTATATATATTTTATAAAATGACATAATACATTTTTATTATTAAAGATTTGATAAATTTTAAATTAAAATCTAAAAATTTTTAAAGTTAATCTCTTACAGTTTATGGAACCATTTTTGCAAGTTACTGATCTCAAACGTGTAACGATATTATCTTATATTCAAACATATTTTGTAACAATTTTCTACGAAATTCTGAATAAATTTGCGCCTAATAAATGCTTGGGACGTTTAACTTGGTTCGCAAACAGATTCATTAATTGTAAGTGCGCAAAGAATAATATTTGTTTTGAGTTATTAAATTAAATTAATTCAAATATCAAAAATCAGTTCAATTATTTAACATAAACTTTGATTGCATAGTATATAATATATATAGCTTCATGAGTTTGATATTAAGATAAGCTTTGCTAATTTTGATAATTTTAAGGTATTTTCAGCTTGGACAATTGGATTTTCAAATCGGAAACTACGTCTTCTTCTCGATTTTATTCCACCATATGATCAAGCAGAAGCAGTAGAACAATGCATAAACTGGCTCAAACAGCGAAAAATAAGAAATGAATAAACTTAATTACCGAATTTAATTTCGATTAATCCATTACATCATTTCTATAACGTTTTGTGAATTAGTTAATTTTTAATATTTTAACTTTTG